AAGTACGATGGGGATCTACTTTCTCCAAAAGTTTTCATACTTTAAATGGTGTTAGGCAAGGCGGTATTCTATCACCACGCCTGTTTACTGTTTACATAGATGGACTCAGCAACAAACTCGGCAATACGGGTATTGGTTGCCATTTATCTGGAAAAAGTCTTAATCATTTAATGTATGCAGATGACATAGTTTTAATATGCCCATCTGTGAAGTGCTTGAATCGTTTGCTGACTACCTGTACTTATTTTGCCAACAATCATAACATCAAATTCAATACTGATAAAACGAAATGTATGTATATACTGCCTCCTTGTAGTAGTATTACACGTATTCCTTATGTTTATCTAAATGGTACTAAGCTGGATTTCGTTAGTAATTATTTATACCTATGAGTTATTGTGAACACATTAACCAATGATAGTTGTGACATGCGCGTCAATGAAGTCTTTTTATGCAAGAGCCAACTATTTGGTACGTAATTTTAATAAGTGTTCTGTTCCGGTGAAGTTTGACTCTATTTAAAACTTTTTGTACAACGATGTATTGTTTCCATTTAAGGGCTGCATTTTCCAAAGCTAATCTGAATGCTGTGCGGGTTGCTTATAACAACGCTTTTCGCGCTATTTTTCATGTCAGTCGTAACTTGAGTATTTCTGAAACTCAGATTTTAAATGGTGTTCCCACTTTTTTAAGTGTTCTGCACAAGTCCAGAGCTGGCTTTTACACAAGATTGACTTCTAGTGAGAATTGTTTAATTGTGGCAGCCATGTCTACTGACATGTTGAAGGACAGCAACTACTGGAAAAGGATCTTTTCTGATATTTATAAGGCGCCTTATTTCTAATGTCTGTTTTGCTGTTGTGTTTTTTAGTAATTTTCAACTTTATGTTATGAGCTGGTTCTCGAAATAAAAACTATTAGTATTATATTATATAATTATAAGTCACTCATCCACTTACAATGTAAATGATTTAAAATACAATAATATTTGATGGATTAAAGTAGTTTCTTTCTTAGTTTGTCATATGAGATATGAATTTCAAGAAAGAAATTTTAAATTATGCAGATTCAGGGGCCAATGACTGTGAAACTGTTTTGTTCACTATGGACTTTTAAGTGGCAGCAAATCTACTGGTATTGACAATGCTACAACAAAGCAACATTTGGGTCCATTTGGCATGAGTGAGCTTTCGCCTATTATGAGTTGGCGGGAAATAATACATTTTGAATTTTGAAACTTTCTCACCTGCCTATGGAAATTTAGAAATGAGGAGCTGAAAGATTTACATATATGAGTGCTTAAGCTGTTTCAAAGACTAATAAAATATTGTTATTATTATAGATATGATAAAAAGTAATATAGCTTTTTGCCTTTACAGTGAAGGGTACAAAACTGGGACATAACAACTGCGACAATAACTGTTATTTAAAATGAGACATTTGCTGAATGGATAATGTTAAGCTAACTCATTATAATTAATTAGAACTAACGATAATGTCACAATACCATTTCCGAATTGGTCAACTTAAATTTCAATTTTGATTCATAGAAATGTATATTTATAAAACGTTTATAATCATCCCTTTCTGCCATTTACTATTTATTTTATTTATTTTTATTAAATCTTTATTGCAGGATATAAAGTAAAAAGGTTGTACATCCCATATTAAAAAACAAAACAACAACAACAATAAATATAAACAATCAAAGAGAGATGAAAAAAAACTAATATATAAAAAGACTTGACTAATAAATAAATTCATTGTTTTAGCATAGCCGTTGCATATACATAAGTTTACGGTACAGAACATAACACTTCGAACATAAATGCGTGTCTACTATGATGATAAAAGCACTGCAACAATTCTATTATCACTTTTAGTCAGACGCGTATAGAGTGAAAAAAGCAAGTTTCGTCTAAAAGCATCAAATGTGGGAATGTTGGAGGACACAAACATAACGCTAGCACTACAGTCCCTGGGCCGAACAAGGAATAAACAAATAAAGAAATATGTCTCATTGGTTTAAGATTTATTTATTAACACACAACATCCCCTCAGAGGGGATGAAAAAGGTTAAAGGTTTGGTGGTGGGAATTGCAAAGCCAGGTATGAAAGGTTCATAAAATTGTATATAAATGTTTTCCCGAAAACCACTGTTTTAATTTAATTTATTTTATTTAAAATGATCGCAAAAATGCACATCGCGAAGTGGCTGGTGTAAATTATCAAATATTTTTTTTGGCACTAAACAATAATTTTTTAAAATAGCTTGAACAGCCCTTGTCCGATTGTTTCTAAATTTCAAATACCCATTACATTACGTTGCTCATCAGAACGATGTGATATAAGTTGTTGCATGCTTGGACATTAATCTAAACAATAGTGGTGTAAAGATGATTTAAATAAGACGCGCTAATTTATTTTTGTATGATTTTGAACTCTCAACATCCTCACCGGGTGACTCGTTTTTGACACGCGCCCACAGGCGGGCAGTATGCCTTGATTTCGTTAGTAGAATTTCAGTGAGCAGCACAATTCTTACCTTGAGAGAAACTGTACGACGTTCGAGGACGTCAACTATCAAGTGAAATTTCTACCATTGCATCACATTTTTCTCAAAAACCACAGACACACTTCTTGTGACGTCAGATGAAGAAGGGAGATCCCAAATGTTTGTTCATGCTTTCATTTCTCCATGTGGGATTTCATATGATTGGATAAAACGTTATGATGACCCTGGGTCACCAGCTTCAAAATGGCTGCGCCCATACCTTCCTCGATGGCGACTAGTTTTCAAAAGAAAAATCAAGGAAAATCAACAAAAATACGCGGAACAAGATATTCATTACATAACAGCCAGCTACTTATTTCATCTGGTGTACCGTCCCTCGATTATGTTATTGGTTAGTACATTGATTTATCGTCGTCGTTGTTGATGTCGAAGGCTAAATCAAACACCCTGTCATTGAACACCGGCAATTATCAACACTTGAGAACACTCTCGGCGCGACAAAGGCACCCCCTCTTCTTTAATATGTACCAAGCAATGCCTGACGAGCAAGCACAACCGAGTAGTTTATTGATTTACTGAAAAATAAAACTGACATAGACATAGAACGTCAACGCACGTGAACTGCAGATGTCGAATTATTTCGCGAGCGAATTGAGCAGACTCGTGTGTAGCCGCTGTTCAAAATAACATTATTCAAAGTTTTAGCTGTTTTCAGTCCGTTGTCAAAAAACGTTTGCTTTATCAATAAAGAACATTTTTGAAGATTTACTGATATGAATGACCCGTCTCGATCACTTCGAATAATTTGTGAGACAACAAACAAAATGGCGCCTCCAATAATAATAATAATAATAATAATAATAATAATAATAATATGAGGTTATTACGAGGATACCTCAAAGTATGCACAAGGATAAATAAAAAATAAAACAAATATAAAGACAATTTGCAACCAATGGTGAATACAGAATAGAAAACAATCTCTAATTTTAACCTAATACACTGATAGTTGTTGCTGTTTTGTTTCATAGCTGTTTTTTAAGAAGACAGCTAAGGGTGGTGCTAGTGTATGGTTTCCCATAATTAATATGAATTTATTCTGACTGTTTTCTTTATCAAAGTTTGGAACTTTATTTTGTGCAGTCAGAAATAATTTGTCCCTATGATGACTGTAAGCTGGACATTTCATTACAAAATGCTGCTCATTCTAAATTATATTTTGGCTGCACCATAGACCCTTTGCACAGATCACATGTTCTGTTATCCAAGGCTTGTTTTCTATTATCATTATGCATGTCTAAAATCCATTGCTTCTCAAATAATTTGTTTATGAATAAAATCTAAATTATTCTTATTTATTATTTCACTTGAATTTATAATGGCATTGGTGTAGCTTGCGGTAGTGTGCGACTGTAGCATTTTATGAATGGCTTTAAAAAGTTATTAAAGTGTAATTAATTTTTTAGCACCCTATTTATATCTTTGATTTGTTCATAACAATGGCTGACACAAATCATATGTAGTGTACTGATGAGATATACAGCGTTCCAATGTCATAAAGAAAAATACTAGTCAAACAAAATATACATGCACTTTTATTTGTGTGCTATTTGTTTCTTTATGTAAATTTCGTGAACATAAAACTATGCAAATAATTCCATTTCTACACTATGCATTAATATGTCGATACATGTTTTTTTTACATTTCCATTGCTGCAACATGAACTTCATCATTGATATTTATTAACTCTTGACCTTTACACACAATGGTGTATTAATTTCCATTGGATGATTTGTAATCCTATTCAAAAAATATAATACTTCCTGTATTTATATTGTATTGGTATAAATCTGTTTTTTTTATTTATTATATCCAGGTGGCGGCATAGCAGTTGGCACTGTTTTTCTTGTTGGTAAGTTTAAAGTCACTGAGTGAATCCTTGTTTACCTACTGTCCTTTAAATTTGCCAGCCGTAACCCTGAATATAAATACTATTGAAAAAGAGAGAAATTTTGTTGCACAGACTCACCTCAGTGGTGAATAATCAACTACTACAATCAACTGAATGAATTATTTTAATTTTAGTCATTGTGATATAGACATACATTGTGATATAGAGTACATGTACAGAACTGTAACATACTAGTAAACAATTCTTTGTTTTAAGACAAACAAAAATGTGTGGTTCTGATATCATCCCGTTCCAAAAAAAGGTAGGCTGGATCGGATTTAATTTTTTTGTTCTCCATCATGATATTATTTGCTTTGATCCAGCTTGCTGATTAGTTAACAAGTTCCATGTTTAATGATGTTTAAGGTACAAGTCTTATAGATTTTGCCAAAATACTGGACATTAGATTTGTTTTAAGTCTCATTAAAATCTTCTATAGTTTTTAGAAATTTGTTCATGTTTGGTCAAAAAACATTAGGGTTGGCAAGTAATTTTAGGTAGGGTCAGGTTATCAGTCACAAATGACACATATATTTTTTGTATAACTAGGCATGTTACTTATTGCAGAATTTTAATGTTTGATATTCATGAAGTTTACTATGAAATAATGCATATCTAACATAATAAAAACTTTTATTTTGTGTGATTTGATTCTGAGATTATAAATGAAAATGATTGCATTCTTCAACGGTCTTCTCTCATAGTTTATGCAGAAAATATTTGGATTAATTAAAAATTTGTGAGATAATGGTTACATTAATACACATTAATTTTCTATAGTTTTTATGCTCTTTGTGCAGAAAGTGTAATGGTCAAACACGACTTAATGTTTTTACGTTTTTTGTGTTTAAATTTTGTCATGTATCTCAAGAACCACTCATTAGATTTCAATCAAATTTGCTACGTGGATGCTCGGGATGAATTTCTTGCATACTAATTTGCATAAATCAGCAAATTCATAGGTGTTTCACAGATATTTCGAGTACTACAAATCAAATTTAAGTGCTTTTGGATAATCCACAGACCTGATTAATTTAGGGTTAAAATACCTTATTAATTATCTAATAAATTAAATAAAAAAATTTAATAACCACTTATCTTATCGTTTTTGAAGAACCATAATTGGTGCATACATGCTCTGGGGTAAGGTTTTTGTGATTGAAAAATAGAGGGCGCTGTTCAACAGCTCTTTTGATCATAAAATGTTCATAAATGACTACATAATGGTAGGTTTATTTAATTAAGTTAATGAGTGAAGCACACAAGAGGAGTCTTCGGTTGGATTGTCTTGTTTGTATGTGTGTGTATATTTGTGTGTACCAATTTGCTGCAAGATAATTTCACATAAATCAAAGATTATATATTGTATGCTAGATTATTGTTGCATCCTTTGACATTAAAGTGAATACACACTATAAACACTGAAAGCATATTGAACACAACACAACAAGATGACATTGATGCGTTAAGGCAGTTGGATGTGAATGTAAATTTCGTACAACTGGGCATGTTACTTTGTATAATGCATCATGAAATAGAACTACGGTACCTATTGTTTATAATGAAAACTATCATACTACAACCTCACGTAATTGTCAGTTTTTGGAAATGTTTTAATAATATTAGAATTCATATCAATAAAAATATGGCTTTTCATTCCACGTCACAGAGCAAAACTTTGAAATAAGAAGAAATAATTTCATAATAGAAACCAGTAAAAAATTATTTGTTTTGATTTTTTCCACTCCCTGCATAATATATTTGAAAATTTCAATACAGTCAGAGATCAAGTCTGTGGATATAATACTTATTTAATATTTTACATCACATGCATCATCTACTGACATGTCGAATTTGTCATCACATGGAATCGCCTACTATAACATTGTTGCACCAAATGTCATGTTACTTCTGTGCTTATTGTAATAGCATGTATATAGTTGCCAGTTTGTGTATAGCGTAGCCTGTACATATTAATTGACATTTTATGCCATGTGTTTTGATTTGGTTTATTAATATACCGGTATATGAAAAAATAGGACAAAAATAGAGCACATGCCCTAGTAATTGTAATCTCAATAGTACCTGTGTCACTGGATTTTTTTTCTAAACAAAAAATTATTGAGTTTTTTTTTTCTACAGAGGAAGATATGTATGGTAGTTATTCTAACTTATTAGTGAAGTACTTCCTTGCAGAGGGTATTGTATCAGGTCATGAAATATTTTTAGCTGCTGCAGACAAAAGACCTGATTGCACTTTAAAGGTAGTTCCTATCTTATGCATATGTATTTATTTGAAATGAACAACTGCTAGTTATACATATAAAAAAGATGATTTTTCTTTTTCACAAATAGCATACGTGTATTGACCCAAGTAAATGTGATGTGACTACAGCTGGTATAGAAGGCATCACAAGCACATTATTTTATGGGATAATGTACATTATTGCTTGATAACAGGACAGCAATCTGCAAAGTAATGATTAAGACCCAGTCAAGCACATTATTTGTCAGAGTAGAATAATCTAGGTGCAAATGACAAGGATATTTTATGACAAAAGAATCATGATTGGTTTATTTAAACATTCTGTAGGAATGTGGGAAAACATTGAATATTTGACTTTAAACACTGCTCAGTTATGGCTGCACATGGTACCAGTCAAAAAAACAAGGCTTTATAATTTCACCTCTGTGCATCCACACCTATATCCCATGGCTAAAACTTGTTCATTATTAACAGAAGCCTTATTATACACTAGCTTATATATTGCCATTTCATGTTCATTATTGGTCTGCAAGGTGAACAATGGTTAAACTTGTCAAAAATCGGTTTTGCAGTTCAATGTGTTTTTAATTCATGGATGTAAAACATAACTGTTCTTACAAATCTCAAGTTCTTATACAGGCAGGCTTATATACGTTAGTGTAAACTTTAATTCAACATCATAATGTATAGCTGAAATAATTTTTATATTATTTGCTTTCTGTATATTTTTAATTTAATTTTTGCATATTTTCTGATTTAGGTTATTGAATCTTATGTCAGTATCAGTTACTCAAACAAGCTTTGAATCTTTACACATTTTATATTACAGTTTATCTTTTTTTCAGGATCTGCCACATCCACTGGATGTTGATCTTGTCAAATCAGTTTATGAGGAGAGAGAAGAAAGAGACAGTGGGGAGAAAATGAAAATAGCCTGGCGATATGAAAGTCTACCAAAACACCAGGTGCTGTGATTTTTCAGTATCTTTCTTTCACATGCTGTGTGATAAGCATTGGCATGTCATTGTACAACTATTATCATACAATAGGTATATGAGGCCAAGTAAAAAATAAATTGTGTTTCCAGTAAAATAAGCTAACAAGATATTGGGTAGGCAGGTGTTTTTTTTTTATTTTAATTTTAATTTGATTTTAATAATGACCACAAATTGTTAATCAATAATCATTATAGTAGATTTTTTTACAGTCATGTTTAGGTCATTCACTCCGTCAAAGGAAATAAATGAACAAAATCATTTTTATAGGTGGAATGTGGCTAATTTGCATAAAAATAGTTTGCTTGAGGTAAAAGTTTAAAATATGGATAGTCAGGGTTATTGAAAACAACTATTTTTCCCCAATACATCACATGTGAATATACAATACATTAGGTACTATGTATATGATACAGTAAGTACCATATTTGGTCTATTAGTAACACTTATAAAAAATAACATAGTTGTATCTGTGGTCAATATAAGTTGTATTATAATAATGCAGCATACAATAAATGCAAGTTTTGGTGACAGGAATTGACAATAACTAACATGTACATCCTCAATTGGAGATTTTGTTGAAATTTCATCTCCACAAACATCACTATAATACATTATAGGTGTGTGACAAAGACAGGGAAATGTTTAAATTTTGATTTGAACTCAGTTTAGCTATTAGGGAGACTATGGTCTATTTTGTAATGTTCTTAAGACCTTCTTTGAGTTTCCTATTTGCACTAATTATCAGAACTACGATAGTTGAATGCTTTAAACATGTTCAGCGCCCTCAAAAAGAAACGTGTGGTTATCGACAAGTGCAACAATTTATGAGTCTTAAAATATTGAACTGAGCTGTAAAGAGACTTTGAAATAATCCCAAAGTCAATAGAGCTACTACCTAGGGGTATGACACGTGAAATTAACCATAGAGTTAACTGTCCTACCATTCAAAATAAGAAGGTTGCATTCCATACACAACAGTATTAATCTCCTATATGATGAAGTAATATCTATTTTATTATTGATTCCAAAATTGTCCTTGACATAATCACCTAGTTAGGGAGATGTTTGTTGTCATTGTCGTTGATTATGTCATCAAGTTTACCAACTCTGGTAGTGAAATTTCCAAGAATGACAACATCATCGTTTCTAGAAAATTAATAAATCTACATCTTTGTTTTTATAGATGAAAGAGTTTTCAGGCTTTCTGTAATTGCACCCAATAAATAAATCTTTACTTAGAAGCACAAATAGCTTTGTCAAAACTAACAACAAATATGGCTGATATAAAAAAAGCAAAAAAACACTGGCAATGAGAAAAGTGACACTGAAAAAAACAAACAAGCAAAATTCTGTTTAGCAACAATGGAGAAAAAACATGATTCTTTTAGAATCAAGGAATATAAGTATCACCAAATAATACCTTAGTCCATAGGTTTAAATGACAGAAAATTCATAAAGTTCACACATTTCATCAACTTTGAATTCATCGTACTCTCACTGCCATCTCCATGCACTGATATATGTTGTTTCACAGATTTCTTGAGAAAATCTTTTTTTGGCCTGTAGAGGGCGGTCTTTAAACGATATAATAAATGCAATACATGGGTTTACCTTGCAATAAATACACAATATATTTAGGGGCATGGATAATTAAAACATGCAAAAACATCTGTACAGCAAACATATTTTCTTCATTTAGGGGATAGGGGTCAAAGGTGATTTCAGTTACAGTACACACAAATTCCACTGTGTTGATTTTATACTCTGTTGAGTGTTGCATTGATTGAATTTTATTTTGTCTCAGTCCTCTCAGAGTGGTCTGCATTTTGGCCATTATTATGACCTAAGTAAAACAATGAAAGAAGAATTAGTTACAAGTGTAAAATGCACATGCTTTTATGCACAAGATAGACATTTACAGCAAAATTTAAAGTAAGTACAATCACAGTTCCTCTGTTAAATCTACTATAGAAAAAGAAATATTGGGTATTCTAGGGATATTCACCAGGTTTTAAATTCACTGGTTTGTGAAGGATACAATAAGTCTAGATTACATGAGTTACCATGACAACACAAGAGCAGTATGGTGACTGTATCAACCAAAACATGGTGGAGGTCAAATAACCTGTACTGCCATACTTTACGGTATTCTTGTGATAACCTTATTATTATACATCTTTTTTCTGTCTGCAGTAATATTTTAATGAGAGGTAATAGCTTGAAATGGGCTAAATGAGCATGCTATTGTGATGGTATTTATGGTAGTTCTGGCAAGGATGAATATTCACTGGGTTTTAATTTAGTGCATTTAGCTGTTAGTGAAGAAGTGAATATAAAAGCCAGGGAATAAGTAAATAGTACTAGTATGTAGATATGTATGTTCTGACTTTGATGTTGGTAGATGATAATTCAGTTTTTATTTTGATGTAACTATTTTAGAAGTTCCTGTAATATGAATCCATATTATGAAGAATTACTGCATTCAATTCAAAGACAAATAATTACAAATGGATATAATTCACCATCAACAGACGTAAGTAATAGACTACAGTATATGACTCGTGCATTAATCACTGCCTGGTTCACACCACTGCCTGGTTCACATCACTGCCTGGTTCACACCACTGCCTGGTTCACACCACTCTCTGGTTCACACCACTCTCTGGTTCACACCACTCTCTGGCTCACACCACTCTCTGGCTCACACCACTGTCTGGTTCACACCACTGTCTGGTTCACACCACTGTCTGGTTCACACCACTGTCTGGTTCATACCACTTTCTGGTTCATACCACTTTCTGGTTCACACCACTGCCTGGTTCACACCACTGCCTGGTTCACACCACTGCCTGGTTCACACCACTGCCTGGTTCACACCACTACCTGGTTCACACCACTGCCTAGTTAATCAAAATACTGATAAAGTTTCAGTTTTCACATTCCTGCTCAGTTTTATCATTTTGATTGATTGCATATTGATAATGGTAGAATTGGAACCATGATTCTATTACCGGATGAAACATAATTTCACGACAATGTGCTTTTAAACAACATTAACAACAACATGCTTCTAATATATTTAATTGTAATTTACTATTTTCAACAATATTTGGGCATAAAATTATTTTGTTGTTGTTAAATGTATATGTATGGTCAAAATTAAATTCAAATTGGTCATTAAATGACATACCTATCGTACTGGAGCTTATGTATAGACTGCCTCTATATTAATGTATCAGGTCAAGTGACTGCCATGATTATATTATATTGTTGTCATCAATAAGTCAACATTCTTCTAAAAAACTTTTTTTCAGATGTTCAAGTTGATTTTTAAATTGTCCTGTCATGTTGTTTTTACTTCATGAATATTCCCAGGAAATTTTTCTTCACTTCTATATGCATCATTGATTTACATTCTCCATGTTGAGTTATCTTT